AAAGGAATTTAGTTTTTTATTTTTCATTTACTAATGCATTATTGGGTTCTAAACTACAATTTGGTTTTGTTTTCATAGAAGTTGATGCTTGAAGAACGGACTACAAAATTGAAAGTGATTCTAAACAACATTATTCTTTTAGAATGTATTAGTGTCTTTGTTAGATGTTGATGTTTTCTTTCCCGATTTGAAAGTTTTTTTAGTTTTATCTTTAACAATAAATGTAATTTTCTTAGTAATTGTTACATGTATTCTATAAGAATTAATGTAATTTTTGTTATTATTCTTCAACTCATCGTTCAAATTTTTGTTATTTTTCAAAATGTTCATTCAATTAGAATATGTATTCTGTCCGAATATCATTCTAACAGAATCAGATCGTTTATGATTAAAAAAATATGTTCGATTTGAATTAACTTAAAAACAATCATAATTTTTAAAATTAAAAAAATCATTATCCCTTGAAATCCGATAATTTCCATTTTTAAATATAATTTAATTTAGGAAAAATGTTTGGACCACAAAGGATCCTTACATCCACACAATGTTACAATCCACATTATAACCTAACCCGATATATATATTATATAGATATATATATATATATATAGATATATATATATATAATATATATATATATTACAATCCACATTATAACCTAACCCTATATATATATATATATATATATATTATATATATATATATATAATATCTATATATATATATATATATATATCTATATATATATATATCTATACTGGGAAAAGTGAATATACCCTTAAGGTATATAAGATTGGGTACCCATATAGTTGAAACTATGTCGTTTTACAGGAATTCATACCGGTGGAAACAAAATCTATCGACAAGTACGGGTGCCTTCCTATTCGATCAAACTGAAGCACTCTATCGAACCTATTCCTTCAATCTCAAATCTCCACTGATTAGTCCTTGGCCTTGTTGATTGTACTTCCTGCTACAAGATTTTACTAATCAATTGATTATACGACCAATTGGGCCTTATCAAACGTGAATAGAATCAAGTGTTGACGGTCTCCACCTATTGTTGCTGACCTATCCGATTATTATTGTTTTCATCCCCTCTCCACTGTTTAAATGGCGTTTTCTCTAAATTAGAAAACAATTGTTGTCCCTTTACTTCAGTAGTTGAAATCGATCCAAAATCACAACAAGAACAACTATAAACTCACTAAAGCTAAAGTTAGTTGATTGCATATCATTTTGGCTACAAATATTCCCAAACCTGCATCGATATTCAAATGGCTAAACAATTTTGATTGTGTATGTTGCTCAGCTATGGTACTTTACTAATTTAAATGGGCTAGTAGGGGAAGAAGATAAGTTGTGCACATAAGGTGCTCATTGAAATGCCTGAGAGTCTCAATATCAGGGAATCCCATAATCAATGGGTGTCACAACTCACAAGTAGTATTAATCAACCCGTTTTTCTTATTACTATACAAAGTAATAAATTTTTGACTTTTTTGTAAAAAAAAAAACAAAAAAAACAAACAGATCAGGGAAACACCAAACAAGAACACCATAAGCTCCAGCTTTATGACACCATGTTGGTTTACCTATCATCAACTCTCCACCGGGTTAGTATTATAAAAATTTATACTTTATCATTAAGACCTTATTTTTATTAATTTGATTTTTATTTTTTCCATTTGCCAATGCCACCTAGCAGGTAGTTGGTCATCAGTTTTGGAATCATTAGACCTGCTAACACCACCCCTTTACATGGTCTTGCATCCATAATTCCACAACTGATATATCAAATCCCATGGAAATTCACTAATCGGTAAAGATCAACAATCAAATTCAAGATCTTCCTCTGATCATAACACATCATCTTTTCTTGATTCCAAATTTGACACTTCTTCTAGTATTGGTACCCTATCTGGCCCTGAGATGTAGGGTAGTCCAACTACTTATTCTGACCACCAAGTAATTCTTGGCGGGCATCTCCGTTGGCCCGTTTAGTCCTAGTCAGCATGGTGCATTCCAAGGACCACACATCATCATGTAGGCTCTGCGCCACCTGGCAGACTTCTTGAAACTCTTCCATATGAGATACACACACTTTCTTCTTTGGGTTTGTGCGCTTATGCATAGATATGAATTATTATTTCATATCATAATATAAACTTGGCACTTATTTTTTTTTAGCCTGTTCATGTCTTTTGTCTATTGCTCATCTGAATGGTGAGTGAAATGTGACATTTATCATCTAATTGAGAAATTAATAACCATGTTCTTTATTAGGAATTATCAATTGTATTAGTTTGAAGTTTTAAAACAAAGTCTACTTATATATAAATTTGGATGTTGGTGTAGTTCTATTACCTTTATTGCAAATGTGTTTGATCAAAATTTATCCAATAGTTGGTTGGATATGTTTTCTAAAGAAACATGTATCTCCATTCCAAAAAAAAAAAAAAAAAAAAAAAAAAAAAAAAAAAAAAAAAAAAAAAAAAAAAAAACCCTATCGTACAACAGAATTGATCATATGGATGCCACCTATTTTTGTTCTAACAAACTTCAGTTGTTCCATATATATACTAGACATTCTTTAATTTTTACTGAAACTTTTAAGATTCAAGGAAAAGATGGATTTGAGAGTTAATCAAAATTGTTGGAGAAAAAAACACGAAGATAGGAGGAAGAAAGGTGATTACTTTGTTCAAGAAAAACAAATTAACAATGAAAAACTCCACAAGTAATTACATACATTACCACTTAAACTTTTATCTTCATCTTCATTAAACTCATTTTGGATATCACTAACTTCTCAACCTGTATAACTTCCTCAAATTAAGCTTTTTTCAAGAAAAAAAAGTCATCATCACCTTTGCAAACCACGACACATGCATCTTATAAAAGGATATATCACCATGTACTTTTGATGACAGTAATCTTTTCACTATTATACTCCTTTTACGATTGCTTTATTTAAGCTTAGAAAATTCTCAACCATGCTTTTTGTTCAAAAGACCATAATACCCTTGTTTTGAATTAAGGCAACCATGTACTCCTTTGTCTTTTGTTGCAACCTTTTCCTTTTTTTTTTACCAAAGACCCATGAAATTACTACACATTTTGCAGCAAAATCTTAATGCAATGTTGACATATTTTAAGAAACCATCAGTCCATGAGGTTACCCACAAAGCATGACTAGTGACTTTGTTCCTAAACAAAAAACATTTTGCCTTATAACCTTATTTGACTGCAGTAGTATAACGACACACATCTTTACCCACAATAGTATAATGAAATACATCTTTACTGTTGATGTTTGGCATCATCTCATAATTTGATGCAGTCCGTCTGACCCGAATAGCCCCATGTAGACCTTCATTTTTGGAGAGGACCTTTATAGCCACCAATCAAAACTACATCGAATCCTTCATAACATCTTTAAGTCTCTTATCACAAAAATTATCCAACTTTTTATTTCCACATCAAGATCAATTTTCATCTTCAAAATCTTCTTCTTTTGAAGTTTCATTCTCATCATCATTTATATCAGCTGATTCATACTATAATCATCTGCATCAGATTTCATTATCAAACCCACACAATCATCATAAACTTTGTTGGGACCAATCTCAAACATCATCATCTTGATTTTATTTTATGTAACAAGATGACAGTAACAAGGGAAATTTAACAAACCCTTTTTATTGATCCCCCCCCCCCCCCCCACACACACACACATCGTTATTTGTATCCAAAATCTTTTCATCTGGATCTAAAAATACACAAACAACATCTACATAAAACTTCATCTTCTTGAACTTTTTTTTATTGATTTAAGTGAAATCGGAATTCTTAAATCATATAAAATTAATCTCCATGCTTAATTGGATTTTAGTGAATTATGTGAAATCGGAATTCACTTGAAAAATCTGATTTTATGTGTTCTAATTCGAAATCGTAACCAAGAAGAATACATATGGCTATTTTTTTTTTTCAAAAACGGTGATGATCACAAAAGGAGTCGAATACAAGAGTGCAACCAACGAACTAGGACAGGAAATTAGGCTAGTGATAGATGCTATACACACATTCCATGCGAAATCAGAATTCTTAATCGAACATCCAAACCAAAAACTACAAGCAATTCGTATAAGGGTTAATCAATTGGGAGTCAACAAAAATCAACAAACGAAAGTATTTAGGAAGGATACGGTGGTTTATTTTAAGAATTATTCATGTAACAATTTTTCACACGAAATCAGTAAGCAAACGACAATCAACCAACGAAAGTATTTAGGAAGGATACGGTGGTTTATTTTAAGAATTATTCATGTAACAATTTTTCACACGAAATCAGTAAGCAAACGACACCGTTTTGGATATAGGGTACCTAATGTTATATACCCTTTAGGGTATATTCACTTTTCCATATATATATATATATATATATATATATATATATATATATATATATATATATATATATAAAATCGGGACGGGTCGGGGCAAGGATAACCCACTCCCTGCCCCGAACCCGATAAAAAACCAGATAACGACCCGTTACCCGACCCAAAATGATCGGGTTTCAGGTTTCTCCGTCGGGTTCGGGCTTTTTTGCCATCCCTACCGACGGGTGCATATCTAATTAAGTTCATAAATGATGTTCTTAGGACGAGGTTGCTATGAACAAAACTTGCAGAAATGATATAACTTGAAAAACGATGTCTCGGGTCATTTTGTTTTCACTAACAAAAATGTGACATGTCGTAACTATCTCACAATTTAAAACCCCAGTTCTTTGGATTGCTGACATATCTCATCTTTCTTTTAATATCGACTTAACTTTTATCGATAAAAAACAAATAACATTCCAACAAGGTTTAACTCACTTTAACATATAATATTGGAAAGCATCTTTTTGTCTCGCCCATAAAAAACAAAACAATGACTCGTTCTTGATCTCTCATGCATGCAAAAAAGACATAAATACCCTTCTCGCCCTCGTATCCAAGAATAACCAAATCCACCTGATTTCAAAAAGTGTAAATTGCAAATCTGACAACTAACCAACCGTGTATCTTTTATAACACAAACATAAGCATAAAACCATAGAATAAAACATGTCTTGAATTTAGGAAAAAAAACATTCCTACACTTGTTCATATCATCATACAGTTAAGTTTGATGGTTTTAGAGAGAGATTGATTTTTCACATCAAGCACCTCGGGATTCCTCAGCAGGCATATCATCTTCATCGTGGTAAATGTTTTCAGCCATCTGCCATATTTGAAGAATATTGTCTTCTGCAACACTTGCAACAATCCAATCTTCACATGGATTCCATGAGAAATCTGATACTTTACTTGTATGTCCACCATGGATAAACAGCAGCTCTGGTGGCCCATCTTCTGCATCCTCTGGTGTTTGTTCCTGATCAATCCTGTATTTACAAAAACATTTAATATTCTTTTCTTTTTTAAAATAAAGAAAATCTTAAATCCATAACTCCATATGCATACATACCTACTAAGATCCCACACCATAAGTCTCCTCCCAAGACAACAAGAAGCTAAAATTGTCTCATTCTGTGGATTCCATCCAACTTGAAACACCTCCTCCCTGTGGAAATATAATATTAGTGATTGAAAAAAGGGTGAGGGGCAAAAAAGGAAAAAGTCTTACTTGTGACAATCAAAGGTATGAAGGGCAGTGGTAATTTTTCGTAAGTCAAACAGTTTGACAGTTTTATCGGTTGACCCGGTTGCTAAAACCCATTCATTAAAAGGATTGAATGCTAAGCAGTTGACCTATTACACCTCAAACAAAAACAGTAATGGAATGAGTGATTCCATTCCGACTTATTTTCTTGGAATGGAAAAAGAAAAACAATATGTACCTACTACCTACCTCACTTTGATGAGCCATTACACTTTGAACAGGTTTGTTAACAGATTGAGATCTCAAATCCCATATGTGTAAGTATTGATCATCCCCACATGAACCAAATAAATATTCATGCCTTAAATGCCATGCTACATCTTCTACAACTCCATCATGAACCTATCAAGATTCAAACATGAAAAGATTTACACTCATTCTTTATATATAACATCACTACAACAATCAACTTTACCTTAAATATTTGCATAGCATCGAGTGATTTGTTCTTGGGAGTTCCATTAATGTCCCACAAGCAAATTTGAGCATCATCAGAGCCACTCAATAAATGCCCCTGTTTGAATTTACTCCATGATAAGCCATATCCTTCAGTGTTGTGGCCTCTCAATCTTAAATCAGGGCTACATGCTCCATCTAAAGGAGGCTTTGATGGATGTTTGCTATAATCAAAAACATAGACTTCTGCACTCACTGTTTTTGTGGCAATAATGAAAGGGTTTTGAGGCATATAACGAGCCCTGTTTACCTCTCCATCATGATTTATTTGCTGAATTATTTGCACCTGTAGAAGAAAAGAAAAGAAAATGGTGTGTTTTAGTTTTGTTGTGTTCTTGTGTTGAAGAGGAAGAGAAAGAAAGGTAACAACTTTATGATTATACTCTTTATGTGTAAGTTGTGTTGGTTGAGATTGTTTGGTAATTAAAGGAATAAAAAAAGAAAACTTGCATTACCTTTCTCTACAAATCTTCCAACATTTATGATAGAATTTTTGGTGGGAAAATTTAAGTTTTCAGCCACTTCATTTCTTTCTCCTAAAGAACTTGAAAATACGAAATATTTGGCTTCCCTCCATTTTCTTCCAAAGCACTCCCTTTCTCTCCAAAAAATATATCTTATAAACTATTCTAATGACATAACTACCATATATCTCACATAACCTAATTAACCAGTAGTGGGCATTATTGTAATACTGTTAGCTTTTTCCCTTTCTATCCAACTCTAGAACACTAAAAACTACTAAAATATAACTTAAATTTTGTTTTTTTCTTCTTTTCCATCCAAGCATAGAGAAGATATCGTCAAAGACACCAGTCTGTCTCTCTATAACAGAACTAATGAGAGAATTATATACAAAAAAACCACCAAAACTTCTCATAAACACACGCATAAGCTAACCCTAACAACGAATTCACAAAATATTTGGAGAAGTAAATCTCAAACTACAATTAAAGCTAATTTTGAAGCTTACACCCTAAAGAACTTCTTAAAACAACAGTATAAACACCCATCAACAACTCGATTGTCGATTTCAAATAGCAAAAACAGGAAGAAAAAAAAAATGTAAGCACAAACCTTTCCATTGGCGCAACCAAACCCCCCAAAATCAGTGCGGTCATCATCATAATGACGAGCATCGTACTCAGCATCTTCAAGCGGTAACTGAACCTGGGCTAGCATGAGGTAATTAGGCTCATTCTCGGATGTGTGGGTCCCAAGGATCAACTTCTGAACGGAGTAGTCTTTTCCGGCGGGCTCATCACGGTCCGGGAGCCATTCCACGGTGAGCGAAGGCCACTCGAGCGCGTGCGTGATGACCAAATCGTACAAAAACGGTGTGTTCTTTTTCCAAATTTTGTATTCTTCGTTGATGAGCCTCTCCTCTATCTCTCCTCGCATATCGTCCTCGTCTTTCCCCATAATTTTGTGGAAATTGCAGAAGATTTTGCTTTGAAATAAGTGTGAATCGGAAGTTAGAAGATTTGATTTTGGGGGATTCTTTGAAGGTCCGAGAATCGGAGGGAAAGGGGGGAAAGATAGATGAAGTGAAGATCGTAGCTTTTTGAGAGACGAGGGAAGGGTTTTGCCGTAGAGAATGGAGTTGGGCTGTGTATTTGGGCCCAATTAAGAAGCGGTCCGTGGGCCGAGTGTATTTGAGCCCAATCTGAAATTTAGAATTTTGAAAGATTAAAATGATAGTGGTAACTCATAAGATATAAATCATGATTGGTTAAGATTGTACGGTACGCTATATTAAGGTTGCTAATATTGTGATCTTATATACGATTGATTTTAGGTTTGCAAAATCGAGATCGTAAGATCGGGATCCGGTTCCTAAGATCCCACAAAACATTACATAACAGATCATATATAATTATTTTTTTTTCGTCATGGTTAAATAACTCAAAAAAGAAAAGTAATTGATCATGTAGTGGTTAATGATACGGTTAAATAGCTAAAAAGAGTATTAATACTAATTATTTATCATACAAAAATAGCAACTCACAACCTTCATGTTATTTACTTTAATTATAAGAATGAAATTGATAACAATTTCAAGTTTTGAAGCTCAAATAACAACCGTAATTTCACAAGCTCTCAAGGAAAAAGGCTTGAACAATAAAATAAAAGAAACTGGAAAAATACTCGCTTTATTGTTGAGCTTAAACTATTGAAGGAATAAATTAAGAACAAGTCAAAGCTAAATTTCAAATTCTACCATTTATAAGGGTAAAATGTAAAGGGAAAAAAGATTATATGGTTGTTGGTTATTTACGGTTCAAAAAACAGTATAAGAATGGGGCTATTCTTGATTACGCATTGGGTAAGGAGACCAAGTCAACCAATAAATGGGTAAAGATAATAAAAACTTAATCAAAAGACGAGGAAAAGGAAAAACATCGATTAGAAAAGAGAATATAGCGTCTCAATAATGACAACCGGACCAATAATGACGCAAAACGATTACCATTTTTGGCGAAACATTATGCGTCAATTTCTTAAAGTTATGGGTTGCAACGATTATTGCACTCAAGACCAATGTACTAGCAAGGTTCGCAAGATGATCAAATATGTCAAAAAATCCAATGAAGAAAGCGAGGAAGGCGACGGACAAATTTTAGAGACGGCCCTTAAAAATTTTCTTGTTGATAATAATAATAAGTTGTTCAAGTTTCTCGATGTTTGGAGGTTCTTATCCGCATCCCCGAAATGGGTAGAAGGTTTTGGTAGCAAAGAAGGTGGTAAGAAAATAACCAAAGTTTCTGAGACGAGTTACACTACTTCATCGGACACATATTTTGGGGTTGATTTGAACGAAGTGGATGAGCTCCATATTGAAGAGGTAGTTCGACCGATAGGTCTAGATAAGACAAAAAAAAATAGAGGCTCTTCGTCGATAAAATCGGGAATGGGAAGAGGATATGACATTCACAAAGTTGCTAGTAATTTCAAATTTTATAATTCAAATTTTGAAAGACATTTGAAATTTGAAAATGATAAGTTGGAGGAGAAAAAGAAAGTGCTAAATGTGACTTTAGCATTTGGAGCATTTGAGTTCAATGGAACACTTGGAACTCAATTGATGAAGCTATGGCTTATTATTCGAACAACAAAGTTAAGAATTTTTTTAAGAACCCATTTAATCTGAAGTTCAAAGGAAACAATGACTTCAAAGGAAATTCATCATCTAGGAAGAGTGTTAGAGAAGAGTCGAAGGTTGAGAAGAAGGAGAGTAAGACTGCTGGTGAGAAGGTGGAGAAGAAAATAAAATGAGATTCTGGTATTGATAGTCACTACGCAATGGTGCGAACCATTTGGCAATTGATTGTATGTTGAGGAAAAGAGAGGAGAAGAAGGAAAGAGTGAAGGATGAAGCCTACTATGTCGAAAGGCTAGAGGAAGTGAGAGCTTTAGCAAGCGTTCCACGTATCGTTGCATTCTTTGCACGTAACTACTGACATGTTGGGTTATGAGCATTCTAACACTCCTATGGTGTAAATGCAACCCTAAATACCTTGGATCTATGTTTTCGCTA